GCCGCGCCACGGTCGCCTTCTGCGCCGGGTGGTCGGCAAAGGGCCGCGTCGCCTGAGCAGCGCCGCGCACTCTCCCTTTGCACGCCTCTTGGTCTACATTGCCGTCAAAAAAACCCGAGAACTCCGACCCTCTGGGATTCCCCAGGGACCCGCAAACCTTGGGGACGAAGGCGGCCCCAACCGCGCGCCCCGCGACGCGATCCCATCGCCTTCCACGCCTCGCTGGCGTTGTAGGCGCTGTTGCACAGCTCCGCCTGCCACGCCACGTGCGCGACGTGCGTCTGCACAGGAATGCTGGTGCTCTTGCCCGTCGTGCCTCTGCGCCACCGCCACCTCAGGACCCGCCGACGAAGCCGAACGAATCCTGAAGCAACCGGAGCAGCGCAAACGCACAACTGCACGGACACGCATTCCCTGCCCCTCAAAACCTTGGGCTTCCCCGGCTTGGCGTAACAGTCCAGCTTCGCAATCCACCCGAAGTATGGAAGCTTCACTGGAACAGCGTCTTTGGGCATGAGGCCCATGTACGAGCTCACCCACTCCTGCTGGCCCTCGTCCAGAAGCGCCCACTGCTCCGACGACACAGGCACTCCCGACGACCACGACGGCCCGAACCCCCGTCTCGGGGGCCCCGTCGGGGCCGCCGCGCCAGACGGCAGCGCAGACGCCGACGGGCTCTCCGAAAGCGACAGCGCGACCGGCGAGGGCGCCGACGCCGAGGAAGTCTCCGGAAGCGGACGGTCGGCGCCGATCGGCGCCACCACACGCCCGGCCGGACGCGGGGCCGACGCTGTGCCCCGCAAGACCGGAGCTGCCTTCCCCGCTAGTCCCGCTGCGACCCCAGCCGACGCGGCCACAGGTTCGCCCAAGGGCGGGCGCGCGTACGGCGCTAGTGGGCCCGGTGTGAGCGGCGGCGGCAGCGCCCGGCCCGGTGGCGCCTTACGCTCTGCCACTGCGGGCGGGCGCTCGTACGGCGCACCGCGAAACGCCTGCTGGCGCTGCTTCTGGGTGCCCCCAGAACGGCCCACACCTAATGCGGAGTGGGAGGACACAAAAGGGTCGTCAAATCAATGTGCTGCAATCTATGTGGTTCGGACTGTGTCGGGCGCGCTCTGCGTGGCGCAACGTCTGCGGAATGGCGATCAATGTGGCGCGCGCTATGTCACCCTCCGACGCCTTCCACGAGGCAGGGGAGACGAAGGAGGATGCAGAGGGGAGGGGGAGCAGGAAGCAGGCGCAGGGAACAGGGAGAAAGAAAAGAAAGAGAGGAGGCGGTAGGAGGGAGGAGAAGAATGAGAGGGAGGAAGGGGAAATACCGACGAGCTTCGCTTATGCTGGGCCGTTCAAAATGAAGAAAATGGGGCCGCCACCCCAAGCAGCAGCAGGCCCTCGTCCAC